CAGGTACCAAAGCAAATCATTCGTACCGTACAAATAATGTAAATATGACGGTGAATCACGAAAGATTGATATCAAACTGATCACTAGACTAATATTACGTTACTTGTTCTTCAAGTGAATCAACAAATGGTGAAATGAAAAGCCGAACAACAACAAAGCTGTTTCTTTAGAGAGTCTCAGCTTACATGTGTTTATTTCATATTTTCAGGTCTTACCCTCACCGACTAAATCGGTTTCAAATTCAAATTTTATTTGTCACGTACACAGTCATACACAGTACGATATGTAGTGAAATGCTTGGACAACTGCTCGTGACCTAAAGAGAACAAAAAAGGAAAAGGCTATGAATAAGATAGGAAATAAATATGAAAAATTAAAAAGGGTAAATTTAACTAGGAAGGAATAAAATATAAATTAAGGTTAAAAATGAAATAACTGTACAACACAAATTAGAATGAAGGGTAAATTTAACTGGGAAGAATAAGATAAAATATATAAATTAAAGTTGAAAATAAATAACTGTACAACAAAATACACAATATAGAACTATATAAGAATGTATGAAGAAATCTAAATATAAATAAATATATACACAATAACAGCAGCTGTACAAGTATTAACTGGAAATGAAGAATATAGTGACCAGTGTTGTGCAAAACCAATGTCCAGAAAGTCCAGTGTGTGTGTAAGAACTGTATGTGTGGGTCAGTACTGTGTGGTGGTGTGATTGAGAGACTGTATCGCCTGCGGGAAGAAGCTCCTCCTCAGTCTCTCTGTGTTGGTCTTCAGGGAGCGGAATCGCTTTCCTGACCTCAACAGAGAGAACAGTCTGTTGTTGGGATGGCTGAGGTCCTTCACCATCTTCCTGGCCTTGGTCCAGCACCGCCTGCTGTAGATTGAGTGCAGGTCAGGGAGCTCGGAGCGGATGGTGCGCTCAGCTGACCGCACAACCCTCTGTAGAGCTCGTCTGTCCTGCATGGTGCTGTTCCCGAACCAGGTTAAGATGTTTCCCGTCAGGATGCTCTCTATGGTGCACGAGTAAAAGTTCCTGAGCACCTTGGAGGGCAGTTGGAAGTCTCTCAAGCGTCTGAGGTGGTAGAGACGCTGTCGGGCCTTTTTCACCACGGTGTTGATGTGACAGGACCATGACAGGTCCTGCGTGATGTGAACTCCGAGGTATTTGAAGCTGTCCACTCTCTCCACTGGGCACTCGTTGATGACGGGGGTCTGGTAGTTCCTCTCCTGCTTAGTGCTGAAGTCCACTATCAGCTCCTTTGTCTTACTGACGTTTAGAAGGAGGTTGTTCCTCTGGCACCAGTTCTCCAGATTCCTAATCTCCTTCAGGTAGGCCGTCTCGTTGTTATCAGAGATCAGGCCCACCACGACGGTGTCGTCAGCAAACTTGATGATGGTGGTGGAGCTGGTAGTGGCCACACAGTCATATGTGTACAGAGAGTACAGCAGGGGGCTCAGAACACACCCCTGGGGGGCTCCAGTGCTGAGAGTGGTGGAGGCTGAGACATGTCCGCCCATCCTTACTGCCTGTGGTCTGCCAGTTAGGAAGTTGGAGATCCACTGACACATAGATGAGCTGAGTCCCAGATGCTCCAGCTTGGTGGTGAGTGTGGAGGGAATTATGGTGTTAAATGCAGAGCTGTAGTCTATGAAGAGCATTTTAACATAATTCCCCCTTCTAGTGTCCAAGTGAGTGAGTGATGTGTGGAGGAGATGAGAGATGGCATCGTCTGTGGAACGATTTGGACGGTAAGCGAACTGTAGTGGGTCCAGTGTGTCTGGTAGTGAAGAAATGAAATGATTCAAATGATTCAGTTATGTACTGAAATATAAGAATGGACATTAGAGGCTTCTTTCAAAGAAAAAACTCAGGTAAATGTTATTTTATATATTATGCTTTGTATGTTGTTCAGTATATTTCTATGCAAAACAAGAGGAACTTCAGTACACAGCAGGATATTCACAGCTGAAACCAGATATTTACACTTTATGGAGAAAACAAAACATTTTTACTGTACAACATCAATTTAGAGTCAACTTTTGTTTTAGATAAATATTGAAATATCTTTTGAATTAGTTAAATGTCAGAATAAAGAGAGACAGAGCTTCTATTTTTATCACTTTCATCAAATGTAGGAGTACATGTACACTAAGTTTATTGTAAATTAATAAGAAACTCCAGACGATTCCATTCTGAGCTGAAGAAGCTTCTGATTGGTTCGTAGAGTCCATGTGAGTAAACTGGTGGCACAGCTGTGGATGCATATAAGACAAAACACAGAGCCTGTTTCTGTGACATGGGAACATCAGGAGATGTCAACAAAACACCAGGAAGAGAACTGTGGAGCTCCATAAGTGTGGCTCAGTTTGAATACAATTTGGTGCCATTTACAAGAAATACAGACAGTTTCTCTCTTTACTCTTAAAGTTAACAAACATGTTTTTATATTTATCTAAAAAATAAACATTTAGTCTGATTTGATGTTACAATTAAAAAAGTGTTTTTATCTGAAGAGTTTGTAAATATCTGTATAACTGTGTATTTGATGATTGTCAGCACAAAGAGGAAGAGAGGGAACAAGAGCAGGTGAGACACACATGTTAGTCACATGGTCGTTTACCAAAAGTATCAGCGTATCACAGGTCCTCATGTATCTCGTACCTCGTGTTTCTTTTTAGGTTTGTTATTTTTCAAATTCTATATTTATTAAGTTCTGCAGCTTGTTTGCACAACAAGGCTAAATAATTATATAAACTTTGGTAGAATTAAAAAATAAGTGTAGTGCAGGTCTATGATGATTTTTAGTGCTGCTATCATCTAGTTCTGATTCTGGTTCTGTCTTGGTTAAGTCCTCAGTAGTCCTGATTTTGGACTGTTGTAGTCCTGTTTTAATTCCGGATCAGTTCTGGGTCTGGTTGAATTGGGGTTTAGGCCTTGTGTCTTGATACAGCCCTGACTTTGTTCTGCCTCGCTGCTTAATTAAAAAACTAGTTTAAGGTGTCCTGCACATGTGATATATATATATTTCCCTATATGAAGTCATTTTTTTTAACAAAACTCAAAACTCAGCCAATTAATCTTTCAGTCATTTCTAACCCCCCCCAAAAAAAAAAAAATACATCCCACATGCATAGGGCTAAGCCCCGGGTGTTTCAAATGTCTGGCTCCGCCTCTGGTCTCCAGTAAGGTGTCAGGCAGCCGTTACTGCTCACGGAGTCTCACTGATGGCCGAGGTGAGTATTTATAACGGGACAGGTCAGCTTTGCACGCCCCTGGCTTTTTTAATGTGCTCTATAAAATAAATAAAGATTGTTGTTGTTGTTGTTGCTTCACAGCTCAGAATAATCCTTAATCTGACAGTGGACGTCGGTCCAGCTTCTGTCTGAAACAAGCTGTTTTAGCTCATCCCCCTTTAAGAAACGTTTCTTCTGATTGGCTGTTCCTCACCGAGGTTTAACCTCTGGCTGCTCTTCTACGTCTGTGAAAGTACAAAATCTGACAAAAGTTTAGAGCAGCCAGAGCTTCACTGCTCATCATTAAATCCAGAATTGAATTCAAAATCCTGCTCCTCACATACAAGGTCTTAAATAATCAGGCCCCATCTTATCTTAATGACCCTGTAGTACCATATCACCCGATGCATTGAGTTTTTCCTTTCCAGTCACCTTTCTCACGCACTATGTATTAACAGACCTCTCTGCATTGAATCATATCTGTTATTAACCTCTGTCTCTCTTCCACAGCATGTCTTTATCCCGTCTTCCTTCTCTCACCCCAACAGTCACAGCTGATGGCCCCGCCCCTCCCTGAGCCTGGTTCTGCTGGAGGTTTCTTCCTGTTAAAAGGGAGTTTTTCCTTCCCACTGTCGCCAAAGTGCTGCTCATAGGGGTCATATGATTGTTTGCCTGTATTATTGTAGGGTCTTTACTGTATGTTATAAAGGACTCTGAGGTGACTGTTTGGTGCTATATGACTTAAGTTGAATGAAATTATTAGAAACTTTTGTCATGTTTAATATGAACATCCACCTCAGGAAAATGACATGTGTAATGGGAAATTAAAAAAAAGCAAACGTCCATTTTGCAAAACACTTTGCGTTCACATACAGTTTTCATTTCATTTAACAAATTGACTTTTGTACTGTTCAGGTTTCTAAAGTATGGTGCCTCATTTGGTAAAATTGGAAAGGAACTCTGTTGCACAGCACATCACCAGGACTGAACTGCCAGCCATGCAGGATCTTTATAGGCAGCGCTGCATGAGGAAGACGCAGCGGGTCCTCTCTGATCCCAGCCACCCCAGTCATAGACTTTTCACACTGCTGCCGTCCAGCAGGCAGTTCAGGAGCATTCAGACCCGCACTAGCAGACAGAGACAGTTTTCACCCAAAAGCCATCAGACTGCTGACATTCCACACTCACTACCATCACAGGACTCTGCACACTGTCACTTCAACAAATGCCACTTAAATGCTCATTGCACAACTTTTGCACAACCTGTAAATACCAACTTGTCTTAAATTCTCTAATATTTAATACTTTTTTCTCTCCTTTTCTCCTTTGCATTGTTATCATTATTAATCCTGTTAATTCCTGTTATTTTCTTCTTAATATAACTGCACACTCTCTGTATGCTCATGTAAAGCTGAGGAGCACAAGCCAAAGAATTTCATTATGGATAAATGTGGCTACACTGTTTATCTGAACATGACAATGAAACTTGAACTTGTTCTACAATTATTGCTCATAAAGCTGGCGTCAGGTGGGCAAAAATGTACCGGAAATTAATTGGAAATTAATTTTTTACCTTGAATTTTAAACAGTTTTTCTACACCCCAGAGCATATTAATCATATCAGAGAATGCTGTGAAATATTTAAAGAACAACAAATGAAAACAAAGGTTTTGTTCTTTTGTGCCGCTTCATGTGAAGCTTTCATTTTATTAACTAGCCGGAAATGAGGAGCCCTGCCTCTGCCGGTCTCTGTGAACTTCCGTGTAACTTAAGTAAGAAAGAAAATGCTTCTGTCGGCCTCCAGCGGTGATCTGGCGTCATTGTCGCTAACGTTTGGCCTCGGTGTGGGAAATTATACACGACTCCGGAGAGAGCTCAGCCGCACCAGCCATAACAGGCAGGCGGTGTGTGTGAGAAGTCCGAGTCGGAGGCGCTAGCCGCCGGGGAGCCAATAGCCTCCAACAGCGGGCAGACAGATGGCCGTGTGGCTCTTTGAGCGTTAGCTGTCAGCATGGAGGACGACAACGGACTCGACGGAGACCTGAACGCCAACGTCAGGTGTCAGAGGACTGGCGACCCGAAGCTTGACAAGGCGGTGCAGCACTGGTTAGCCTGGGACAGGGTGAGTCTGTGCCCGTTAGTCAGAAAGCCAAGCCGGGTGTAAGCAGGGAGCGCTGCACCAGACTTCGCTGACAAATCCGTCGATTAAAATATCACCACTTTTGGGCAGGGACATGTCACAGAAACATGTTTATGAGTTATGTTTGATAGATCGTTGTAGTTGTGTGGAGAAATCGGCATACAAACTGATCCATGAAGCAGCGCTGTTTGCCATTAAACATAAACTTCATACAGCCTGAAGCCGGGAAGCCGGTGTTGCAGCAGGTCTGAACTATAACAGTCATTCTAAGACTTTAGGTTGAAACTGTGAGCCGAATGAGCTAGCCCCCAAAATCTAGTAAGACGTATTTCCTACTTGAATTGTTTTCCGAAACAATAAAGTAAAATGATCAGTTTTTAAAGGGGAGTTGTGGTGGCAGGAGCACCGCGGCTGCTCGGGGCGTGATGGAGATTACCTTTGTGGGTTACCGGAAGATTAACCGGCAGCGTGACTCAGCAGATTGAGTCAGAAAGGCCTTTCCGGTCAATAAACATTCATCCATGGGTGAATATTGATCCTTTACTCGTCTTTATTCAGGAACCAGGTCACCGTGAGCTGCTGGATGATGCTCAGATCCAAACACATTTTAAAGCCAACATGTTTTACAACCATTTTAACTTTAAATGCAAATGAAAAATAAGCTTCGTGCCACCTCCTCATCCATACGTGGCCCCCAAACCAGCATGGTCGGACCAGAAGGTGACCCCAGGTGGCCAAGTCCATCCTTTTTGTACAGTTTTGGAAAAGCCAGCCATTTATGACATCTAGCAGGAAATTATTGTTGTAATGTGCACAGTGAGAAAAACCCGGGTGTGTGATGACGTCTGTGAAGGCTGCGCTGTAGCTTCAGCTCTGACACCACGACCATCCGTGTAGGTTCTTTACATGAAGCTGTTTGTTTCAGCTTTCTTTCATCTTAGACTCGTTGTTGTGGGTCAATCTTGTGTACGCGTCAGCAGCAAAATATACAATCAGAGGACCTGGGATCGATCCCTGAGGAACTCCATCTCCTGTGGTGAACAGTCAGACAAGTTTAGGTTTTGGATGCTGGCAGAGGATTTGGATCTGGGAATAGGTCACCATGGGTCACTGGTTCAGGCCGGTGTCGCAGAGTCCCGTCTGCAGAAGAAGGCAGAGCGAGGACTTCTCTAAAACACCGCACCTCGCTGGTTCATCCTGTTGCAGAACAAAGACGTGGTGCAACTTTGTGCAAGAACTACAACTGTTTGACTGTGAGCGAGACCTGCCTGCGCTCGTTATTGCTAATGTCTCGCGTCAGAAAGGTCAAAGGTTAATCCCAGCCACACCGTTTTATACTTGCTGTTTGAAGCTGTGGCCATGTTCAAGAAGAAACTCGGAGCTACGCTGCTTGGCAGGAGACCAGAGGAAGTCCACTGTGACAGTGTTTCAGACTGGACTGGGTTTGAACCCCCCCCCTCGCTCCCCAGTGTCGCCCTCCCAGTGTTCAGAGCTGTGTGGTCTGTAAAGGTCACGGCTGCCTTGAACTGCGCTTTAAATGTCAGCAGCCGGGAAAAGATTCCCACTCGCTGTTTGGACTCTATCTTTATCCTGTGTGCAGAGAAACATGAATGAGGTCCATCCTTCGGCCTCTCGGAGCATCGGCTGCACATCAGCCGATGCTCCGAGGCCCGTGAGCCTGCAGGGACTCCTTCACTCAGAGTGCGTCCTAATGAAGACAGGAAGTGAGCACCCCACCACGGAGTACAGCAAACATGCACCGGGCACCTTTTCTAAATGTGTGTGATATTTTATCACCCACAGAGTGCGACCTCAGGTGATAATCTCATTTAATGTTTTTAATGAAACCTCTGTGAAGGTTCGGCTTCCTGTGTTTGCTCCTGTCGGGAGATTAGGCCTGCAGTCGTCGTCCTCTCGGCACGTTTCCAGCAGGCCACAGATACAATAATCATAATCTGTGATCCACGTGTCACAGTGGAGGGTCAGGAATGATTTGGCGTACGGCCTTCATCAGCTTGTTAGAGCGTTTAACCGTCTCATGGAGTTCCTGCTCTTTACAAATAAAGATGCGTTTCTAACACGCTTCAGAGTGAATATTTGGTGTGAGCACA